AGTCAATGTATGGTGGATGAATGAAGGAAGCATAGATGCGTTTGATGGATTGGTGAATAGGTTAGTACCTGGTGGGCTGGTGAAAAGATAGATGAACTAGCTCATAGGTGAGAGAATAAATAGGTAGGTGGATGGATGGATGGATGGAAGAATGGATGCATAAATTATTTGGTGAATGAAAGAAAGGTCAGGAAAACTGATGCTCTTTCTCATGCCTAATTTATGCATAAATGTGTTCCACTCCCTACCCTCATTAGATTATAATTTCCCTGCTGTGTGGGTTAAAGGGCAGGGATCATTTCTCTTATCTCTCCCAGTGCCCAGTCCAGAGCTCAGCCAGGGCAGGAGGCTGCCTGGGTGGCTATAAAGGCCAGCTTTCTCCCCTGCTCTCTGTCTGTTCCCTCCAACCAGGCTCGGAGCAGCTGCCCTGGCTCCCTGGACTCCAGTGTCTTCCTGAGCTCTGACTTCCTCCTTTCTGAAGACCCCAAGCCTAAACTCCCTCCCTGTCCCACACCCCCACCCCTCCTCCAATACCCTGCCCCTGCCAAAGGGCCTGGCCTGGAGCCCTGTCCCCTACCCCTCTTCCCTTCCATGGCTCCGCCCCCTGCAATGCTGCAAGAAGAGCCTCTCTTCTCTCCCAGATTCTCCTTCCCAACAGTCCCTCCTGCATCAGGAGTGTCCCCCCTGCCTGCTCCCACAACCTTCTCACCTACCCCACAGTCTGGCACAGGCCCTGCCCCCACCCACTTCCCCATGGACCTTCTATCCTCGGGGTGTCCAGAACCCCCCTTTGGGCCTCACTTCACAATGCCCCAAGGTGTGCAGCCCAGAGGCAAGCCCCCTACCCCATCCCCTAGGGAGCGGAAGCCCAGCCCTCGGACCTTGGCCCCTGCCATTGCTGGGGGCAACAATTCCTGCCTCACACAGCTCCTCACAGCAGGTGAGATAGAAGGGGCAGGGTTGACAGAGGGTGAGACAGGAACCAAATGTGGAAGGGGGGAGCCTATGGGTGCAGAGGGTAAAGGTTAAGGGGCAGACTCAGCTGGGGGGGGGGGACAGGGTGGTGAGGAATGAAGGACATGAACCCTGAACCCAAAAGGGGTGTGGGCTATTTGGAGTGGAGGGATGGGGTCTTAGGAGATAACCTGAGAGAACCCTCACAGTCTGCTTGTACACAGCCAAGCCGGAGCAAGCCCTGGAGCCACCTCTTGTATCCAACACCCTCCTGCGGCCCCCAAAATCCCGGGTAAGATGGCAGACTCAGGAGTGGAGGGGAGCCTCAGAGCTTCACCCCAGCTCTCCATTTTTCTCCACCTGAGAGCTTCACCCCAACTCTCCACCCTTCTCTTCAGGAGACGGTCCCTGAATTCCCCTGCACCTTCTTTCCCCCGACTCCGGCCCCCACACCACCCCGGCCATCTCTGGGCCCGGCCACACTGGCCCCTCCCAGGCCCCTGATTGTCCCCAAAGTAGAGCGGCTGTCACCCCCAGCACCCAGCGGTAAAGAGGGGTTGCAGGGATTGGAGGGAGGGGAAGGAAGAAGGGGGGACTATATCTGGGGCCAGGACAAGAGGGACAGGTCAATGGGACCTGCTCCCCTGTGTTGGTCTGTCTGTGGGTCTGTCTGTCTCTGCCACAGGTGGTGAGCGGCGGCTGTCTGGGGAGCTTAACTCCATGCCAGGCCCAGGGACTATGAGTGTCCGAGTCTCTCCGCCTCAGCCCATTCTAAGCCGGGGTCGTCCAGACAAGGTGCACTATCCCCTCACCCTAAGATCTCTTTGCTACCCCTACGCCCTCCCACACTCCTTCCTAGGCTCACCCCACTTTCTGTCCCCCGACACAAGACTGAAAACCGACGCATCACACACATATCTGCGGAGCAGAAGCGGCGCTTCAATATCAAGTTGGGGTTTGACACCCTGCATGGGCTGGTGAGCACGCTGAGCACCCAGCCCAGCCTCAAGGTGAGCCCCCAACCTAGGATGGTACCCCCAGAGCCACAGGGCTCTTCATGAAACCCCTACATAAGACCAAATCTCAGGACCCTCCAGATACCCGGTTGCCTCCTCCCGCCTCCCCAGTGCCTGAGTGGGTCCCAGCACCTGACCCCACACTGGTGATGCCCACAGGTGAGCAAAGCAACGACACTGCAGAAGACGGCCGAGTACATCACCATGCTGCAGCAGGAGCGGGCGGCCTTGCAGGAGGAGGCCCAGCAGCTACGGGACCAGATTGAGGAGCTCAATGCTGCCATTAAGTAGGCAGAAACCTGCAGGTGCTGGGACAAGGGGGGCCAGTTACCTGAATCTCAACCTCTGACCCTCTCCATGCCCCCAGCCTATGCCAGCAGCAGCTGCCGGCCACTGGGGTGCCCATCACACACCAGCGTTTCGACCAGATGCGAGACATGTTTGATGACTATGTCCGGGCCCGCACACTGCACAACTGGAAGTTCTGGGTAGTATCCTCACTGGGCCAGCGGCAGGGTGAGTGCTGCAGCCAGACCAGGTTGTGCCTGGCTGCAGGCTCAGCTTCAGAGGCCAGGCAGGGTCTCAGAGCTGCTTCCAGGGGAAGAGACTCCAGTTTCAACCCCTCCTTCCAGGCCTGGGCATCTTGGCCGGCAGGATTGCCCAGTGATGGGCTGGGAGCAGAGGGAGGAGCCCCTGGGTGGGGGGACCATAGCCCTGCCTACAGAAAGTCCCAAGGGAAGTTTGGGGGAATCTAAACTCTGAGTGGCATGAGCGGCTGGACCCTAGGAAAGACATGGAATTGCTTACCCCCTCACCTAATCAAGCTCTTGACGGAGCCAGGGCAGGAAGCCTAGGAATGTGGGCTAGTCCAGCCCAGAAGAAGGGCCATGGCGGAGCTGAGGCAGTCAGCTGGGCAGGCCTTGGCAGGATGAGAGGGTGGCTGCAGTGGGGGTCCTTGGGGTTCAAGGCTTCACGGTCACCAGGCCTTTCCCCTGGTTTGGGCCAGATGTCAGGGCTACATGTCAAGTGGGTGAGGATACTGGCTGGACAACAGGCCTGTTCCTTGACCTGGGCCAGTTCAGCATCCTCATCCGGCCTCTGTTTGAGTCCTTCAACGGGATGGTGTCCACGGCAAGCTTGCAGAGCCTCCGTCAGACCTCGTTGGCCTGGCTGGACCAGTACTGCTCCCTGCCTGCTCTCCGGCCAAGTACGTGAGCCACCTACCTGCCCAGTGGGATGTCCAGGCCTCAGGGCAGAGGATTCCACTCTGCTCAGACCCCAGGTGCAGCCTGCCTTCAAAATAGCCTAGGGTTTTGGTTATCCCACCATGCTTTCTGGCTGGTTCCCCAGCTACCAAGACACTACAGACAGTCTTGCCAACCAGCATCTCCCCACACCCCATTGTCTTCAGCATCCAAGGGTGGGGCCCTGACCACAGGAGGCGTCTCTCTCTCTTCCCAGCTGTCCTGAACTCTCTCCGCCAGCTGAGCACATCTACCAGTATCCTGACGGACCCAGGCTGTATACCTGAGCAAGCCACACGGGCAGTCACAGAGGGCAGACCGTTATAGTGCTGACCAGACCCTGCCATTCACTCAGCTGCCGTGGGGACTACTTTCCCTGGACGTGGGCTCCAGACACAACTCCTGGGCACTCCCTTCCTGCCCCAGGCCCTGCTTGTCCCCTTTCCTGAGAGTTAAGCAGGACCTTAGCCTCTTCCCACCTCCTGGAAGTCAGAAAACACTGAGTTCCAGTGTCTGCTCTGCCAGTGACTACACTGTGACCTAGGGGACTCATACTCCATCTGTGGACCTCCATTTTCCAGTCTGCACAATGGGGGTGAGGAAGCTTCAACCAGATGATGATCCCAAGGCCTGAGCAGCTGTGACACTTGGGGCCTAAACTGGCAACTCAAGGAACTTAAAGGAGAGAATGGGAAGATCCTACTCCTCTGTCACTCCCACCTGCTCCCCAACAGGTAGAGCACATGCCTCTGCTTCTGAGCAGACAAGCAGAAAAGGGGGTTCTCTCTGTTCCTTCACTGGTAACCTGGGGGCGCTGCAGGATAGCATCCCTGGGTGGATGAAGCCTAGAAGTTCTGGTATCAGAAGAGCACACAGCAGGGCGGGTGGCCAAGCCAAGGCAGGCATTGTGTGTGTGTGTGTGTGTGTGTGTGTGTGTGTGTGTGTACGTGTTTTGTAGAGCATTCTTGACCAATAAAAACAAACTGTCAGGGATGGTCAGCGTATCTTGCTCTGGAATGGAGAGTCGGTTGGCAGTGGGAGGTGGCTTCTGAGCTGGAGAGCCACTGGAGGGCTATGACTAGAGGTGGGACAAGATTCGATACTAACTTCTGAACAGGCTTCCTCTGAGTGCCAAGTTGAGAACAGGCCACCATGGGGCGATGGTGAAAGTAAGGCAGCCGGATTTAGGCTGTGGCTGTCATCCAGGCGGGAGAGGACCCTCATCTTGGAAATCCTCCCTCCATGGCCAGGAGAGGGTTCACAGAGGCTCACTACTTTCCAAGTTGGAAGAGGGCAGAGCTGGGACCCAGGAGTGGAAGTGCCAGGGCCACCCATCAGAACCATCCAGGAGGAGAAACGTGCTGCTGCAGAGAGCAGTGTTGTCCCCGCTGTGCAAGACGTGCACACTGACCGGATGGCCGCTTGGCTGGCATGTCTTACAAGGAACTGATACTTCAGATGGGAGTTGGGGGAAAAGACCCCAACACTTCATTGATCCTTTCATTGATCTATTGAACAAATACTCCCTGAGGGCCTGCTGTGAAGCAGGCGATGTCGTGGCTCTCGGGATTCTGTTCACTGCTGTACTCCTCTCATGGAGCTGACCATTGAGGCCTGGCAAGTTTGAATCCTCTCACATCTCAGAACTTCTGGAGGCATTTGCCGGATATAAACAGTCTTCCGTGGGCTTTGCCCTTCTCATTCATATAGAATAATAACAATAACTGCATACCTATGCAGTGTTTACTACATGCCAAGCTATTCTAAGGGCTTTATCCCTACCCAATCCCTACCATACCTACCTCTACAGGCCTGTTGTGAGGATTTGAGAGTAAATATAAGCCCTGGTCAAGTACCAGGTAGCTCAGTTGGTTAGAGCGTCATCCCAATACACCAAGGTTGCAGGTTCGATCCCCAGTCAGGGCACACATAAGAATCAACCAATGACTGCATAAATAGGTGGAATAAGAAATTAATCTCTCTCTCTCTCTCTCTCTCTCTCTCTCTCTCTCTCTCTCTCTTTCTCTTTCTCCCCCCCCCCCTCAGAGCAATTTTTAAAAATATATATAAAGCACAACAGTGCCTGGCAAAGAACACTACATAAGAGTTATCATAATATCCCCATTTCACAGATGAAAACTTGAGGCACGGAGAGGTTAACTAGCCCCAGGTTGCATGCTTAATGAGGTGCCCACTCAGACTGTCTGGCTCATCTCTGCCTTTAGACACTTCTCTTTACTGTGCAGTGACAGGTGCACACAAACTTAAAATGCTATTTGCTGCTGCAGGCCACGACTTGAAGCGGCTCTTTGAAAGGTAACATCCTGGCAGTTTGTGCTCTGCTGTTTTTCACCCACTCATAACCCACCAGGAAGATTCTCATGAGAGAATCTTATAGAACCTTCATAGGTCCCACCTTCCTGTGAGGGAGTTGTCTTGCTCTCCCTCTCCCTCTCCCCTCCCATTTACCCTCAGCTGCCTGCCTTTGGGCTCCTCCCACCTTCCGGCCTAGCCATACCCCAGGACTGATTCTTTCACCGAGGTCCCGTGACTCCTTCATTGCCAAATCCAACAACCACTTTGCATGCCCTTGTCTTTCCCCAGCCCTCAGACCATCTTCTTCAACCACTCTCCTTTCGAACCCCAAATTCCTGGCAGGCTTTCCTTCCTCCTTCCTGACCGTGCCTTCCTGCTGTGGGAGCCTCCTCCTCCACCAGTCCCTTTCCCTGGCCTGCTTCCCTCTCACTATGGCAAGTCCCAGGCAATCCCATCCCCTCCACCTCTCTCCTGAGGACCTACTCTGTGTCTGTCTTGCTGGGCCCCCAGAGCGACACAACCACATATCCAACTGCCATCCTGACCTCTCCCTCTGAATGTTCCACAGCTTCCTTAACCTTGAAGGGGTCAAAACAGAACTCATCATTCCTAAGACTGTATCCCAAGTCTTCACCCTCAAACCTGGTCCTCTCCATGCGCTCCATCCTCAGGAAAGGTGCCACCATTCAGACACTTGTGTAAGCTACAGTCATTCCTGGCTTCTCCTCACACCCCACTAACCTATAGTATCTGTTACAGAGGCCTGGCCAGTTGACATTGTAAGCATTCATTTCCACAGTCACTGCCCTGGCCCAACAGAACATTGTCTTTGCATGAGCCTCCTGTGTCCCTTACAGCTGCTCTTCAAACTTAAATGTGCATTTAAATAATTTGGGGTGTTTTTTTTGGGGGGGGGGGATTTAAAAAAATCATGATCAGGCCCAGTCTGGATCAATTAAATCAGAATCTCTGGTTATGGGGTTTAGACATCAGCATCTTTTAAGGTATTCCCAATATGCAACCAAGGTTAAGAGCCACTGTAATAGAGGCTTTGAGCTGCAAAGTATATATAGCTGGGGCTCAAGTTAGTTTAAATCTGATTTGAAGACTTTAATGTGTATCAGAAATCACTTAGTGGGCATGTTAAATACAGATTGCCAGGCCCCCACCTCTAAAGTTTCTGAGTCAGCAAATCTGAGATGAAGTCTAAGAATTTGCATTTCTTTTTTTTTTTAATATATTTTTATTGATTTCAGAGAGGAAGGGAGAGGGAGAGATAGAAACATCAATGATGAGAGAGAATCATTGATTGGCCGCCTTCTGCATGACTCATCCCTTACTGGGGTTCGAGCCCGCAACCCCAGGCATGTGCCCTTGACTGGAATCGAACCTGGGACCCTTCAGTCCGAAGGCTGATGCTCTATCCACTGAGAAAAACTGGCTAGGGCAGAATTTGCATTTCTAATGATGCTGGGTCCAGGGCTCAAACTTTGAAAACCACTAATTAAATAATGACGAAATTTATCGTTCCACCTAACACAGACCAGAGGTAAGGAAGACTCCAATCAATGCAAGGTGGATCTTCAATTGCAAATTGAAGTTATGTTTCCATTGCTTCTTTGGCTCCTACTTCCCTCAAATGATGCCAGGTTTTTGAACAGATGTTCAAGGTGCTTTGTGACTGGGCCCTGCTACCCCTGCAGCCTCATTTCTCTCCACAGCCTCCTTCCCTTCACATCCCAAGGAATCCAGTGATTCCTGTGATGTGTCATTCTATTTTGCCTTTACAAGTAAGACTTGATCAGCCCATGAGGGAGGCAGGCCTAAACTTTTTTTTTTAAACAATTTTTTCTCAAAGTTGACATACAATATTACATTAGTTTCAGGTGTATAACCCAGTGATTAACATTATATAACTTACTAAGTGATAATCCCAATAAATCTAGTAACCATCTGACACCATACATAGTTATTACAATATTACTGACTATACTAGAGGCCTGGTGCACAAATTCATGCACAGGTAGGGTCCAGCCAGCCCACCCATCCATTCAGCCTGCCCCATCTGAGCCGATCGGGGCCAGGCCGGCAGGGGCGAGGGGCTGTGGGAGGTTGGCCAGCCGGCCCCGCCCCCAATTGGGCCAGTTGCCTGGCCGCTGGTCATAGTGACCAGTCGTTCTGGTCGTTCTGGTCGCTTGGCTTTTATATATATAGACTAGAGGCCCGGTGCACAAAAATTTGTGCACTCGTGGAGGTCCCTCAGCCCAGCCTGTGCCCTCTCTCAGTCTGGGACCCCTCAGGGGATGTCCACCTGCTGGCTTATGCCCGCTCCCTGGAGGATGGGGCCTAAGCTGGCAGTCAGACATCCCTCTGGCAGCTCGGGAGCCCTTGGGGGATGTCCACTTGCCAGCAGGGAGCAGGCCTAAGCTGCAGTCAGATATCCTTAGCGCTGCTGAGGAGGCTGGAGAGGCTCCCGCCATCACCACTGTGCTGGCAGCCATCAGCCTGGCTTGTGGCTGAGCAGAGCTCCCCCTGTGGGAGCACACTGACCACCAGGGGGCAGCTCCTGCATTGAGCGTCTGCCCCCTGGTGTTCAGTGTGTGTCATAGTGACCAGTCATTCCCAGTCGTTCTGCTGTTAGGGTCAATTTGCATATTACCCTTTTATTATATAGGATAGAGGCCTGGTGCATGGGTGGGGGCCGGCTGGTTTTCCCTGAAGGGTGTCCCGGATCAGGGTGGGGGTCCCGCTTGGGTGCCTGGCCAGCCTGGGTGAGGGGCTGAGGGCCGTTTTCAGGCTGGCCACACCCCCTTCAGGGTGGAGGTCCCTGCTGGGGTGCCTGGCTAGCCTGGGTGAGGGACTCTTGGCTGTTTGCAGGCTGGCCACACCCCCTTCAGGGTGGGGGTCCCCACTGGGGTGCCTGGCCAGCCTAGGTGAGGGACTGATGGCTGTTTGCAGGCTGGTCAAGTCCTCCATGGGGACCCTCATCCCATGGGGGTGTGGCCAGCCTGGGTGAGGGGCTGAGGGCTGTTTTCAGGCAGGCCACACCCCCTTCATGGTGGGGGTCCTTACTGGGGTGCCTGGCCAGATGTTCAAGGTGCTTTGTGACTGGGCCCTGCTACCCCTGCAGCCTCATTTCTCTCCACAGCCTCCTTCCTTTCACATCCCAAGGAGTCCAGTGATTCCTGGGATGTGTCATTCTATTTTGCCTTTACAAGTAAAACCTGATCAGCCCATGAGGTCTTACTTGAGGGCTGTTTTCAGGCTGGCCATGCACCCCCGTGACCAAAGCTCCCAGCCTCTCCTTTTTTTTTCTTTCTGGGATTTATTTATCTTCTATAATTGAAACTTTGTAGCCTTGAGCGGAGCCCAGGTCCGGTCAGGGCAGGAGGGAAGCTTGGCTTCCTCCATCGCCGGGGGCAACCCAAGCCTCCTGCTCGCTCCAGCTCTGTGGCCACTGCCATCTTAGTTGGGTTAATTTGCATACTCGCTCCTGATGGGCTGGTGGGCATGGCTGGTGGGTGTGGCTTGAGTGTAGCAGAGGGATGGTTAATTTGCATGTTTCTCTTTTATTATATAGGATTCTCTCTGCTGTACTTTTACCATCCCTGTGACCGGTCCATAATTACCAATTTGTACTTAATTCCTTCACCTTTTTCACCCATCTCTCTAACTCCCTCCCATCTTTTGAAAACCCAGTCCCCCAACCCTCTTCCTCTCTGGGTACCCTCTTCCTCTCAGACTCTGTGTCTGAGTCTGTTTTGATTTTGTTTGTTTTGTTCTTTAGATTTCACATATCAGTGAAATCATATGATATTTGTCTTTCTCTAAGCATAATACCCTCTAGGCCAGCCGTGGGCAAACTACGGCCCGCGGGCTGGATCCGGCCCGTTTGAAATGAATAAAACTAAAAAAAAAAAAAAAAAGACCGTACCCTTTTATGTAATGATGTTTACTTTGAATTTATATTAGTTCACACAAACACTCCATCCATGCTTTTGTTCCGGCCCTCCGGTCCAGTTTAAGAACCCATTGTGGCCCTCGAGTCAAAAAGTTTGCCCACCCCTGCTCTAGGCCCATCCATGCTGTCACAAATGGTAAGATTTCATTTCTTTTTATGGCTAAGTAATATTCCATTGTATAAATGTACCATTTATACACAGCTTTTTTATCCACTCATCTATTGATGGGCACTTGGGTTGCTTCCATAGCCTGGCTATTGCAAATAATGCTGCAATGAACATAGGGATGCATATATTCTTTCAAATTAGTGTTTTGGGTTTCTTTGGGTAAATTTCCAAAAATGGAATGGCTGGTTCATATAGAGGCATAGACTTTTCTGTCACCCTGAACATACCCCTTCTTACTGCATCCTTTCTCTGATCCCATCTGCAACACTCAGGCTGTCATAGTCACTCCCTTCTGTACAGGAATCAGTTCTTCCTCCACACCTTTGCTCATGCCTTGTTTCCCACCTAGAATTCCCTCCTATTCTCTGCTTCACCTGTAAAAATGCCCACCTCTGAAGGTATAGCCAGGTCTTGATGCCCCTCAAAATTCATTGGCAGATCTCCCTCCTGATCTGCCCAGCTTTGCCAAATCCTTCTGCATGTTGGCCTTGGCTTCTAAGTGGGCTTGAGGATAAGGGTAAGACCTTACTGACCACATCCCAGTGGCGTGTGAGAGGAGTGTGGATTAGGAGTGGAGCAGATCCAAGTTTGACTCTGGACTCTATCCCTGGCTTCTTTGTTGACCTTGGGTAAGTTACTTGACCTGAGCTTATTTTTTTTCACCTGTTTAAAGTTATTTCATAGCATCTCAAAGTTCTCTATAAAGAACAACTAAGCCCTGGCCATGCATCAGGAGGGTTTGGGTTTGATTCCAGGTCATGGGTACATACCTGGGTTGCAAGTTGGATCCCACCCCCAGTCAGGCACCTGTGGGAGGCAACCAATCGATATGTCCCTCTCACAGTGGATGTTTCTCCTTTTCTCCTCTCTCTCTCTCTCTCTCTCTCTCTCTCTCTCCCCTCTTCCCCTCTTTTCCACTCTCTCTAAAAATCAATGGAAAAGTATTGTCACTCCTCAGGTGACAATAAAAAATAAAATAAATAAAAATAAAAAGAACTGAACTCGTGATGTGAAAGAATTTTGTATCCTTGACTGAGCTGTACACAGCTGAGCCCTACTCTTGCTTCTCTCTGTCCTCCACATCAATAGACTAGTGTCATAGATCTGCATGTGTACCCAGGTTCACTCTTCACCTGTGTGACCTCTGAAAAGTCACTTAATGAGCACCTCCTAGAGCAGCGGTTCTCAACTTGTGGGTCGCCAACCTGTGGGTCACGACCCCTTTGGGGGTTGAACGACCCTTTCACAGGCATCGCCTAAGACCATTGGAAAACACATATATAATTACATATTGTTTTTGTGATTAATCACTATGCTTTACTTATGTTCAATTTGTAACAATGAAAATACATCCTGCATATCAGATATTTACATTATGATTTATAACAGTAGCAAAATTACAGTTATGAAGTAGCAACAAAAATAATTTTATGGTTGGGGGTCACCACAACATGAGGAACTGTATTAAAAGGTCGCGGCATTAGGAAGGTTGAGAACCACTGTCCTAGAGCATCAGTCTCCTAATCCGTAGGATGGGAATATGAGAAGATTAAATGAAATGCAAAGTTCTGGGATCAATCAATGTCACATGCAAAATGCTTGATGAATGAAATTCTTCTTAAGTACCGCTTTGTCTCTAGGTAGTGGAGAAAGTGGTCCTTGGCTGGGCCTATAGTTCCAAAAAGCAAATTAGGAGGAAAAGCCCCAGGATGCCCTGGACACCCCCTCTAGCCCTCCCTACCCCACTGCCCACAGCTCAGTCAACGCTGTCACACACACACACACACACACACACACACACACACACACACACACGACAAAAGGGAAGGAAAAGAGGCCGGCCCCTCCATTTAGTCTGACTGGATCTGCTTCCTCACCAAGGCTGTGGGTGTGTCTCTCTGACATCTAGTCTCCCCAGCAGCCTCTCTCCTCAGGGGGACTTTCTAAAGACCAGAGTCTGCACTGTCAGGAGAGGCTCCCAGGTGGGCATGGAAATGTTTGAATCTGGAATCTCTGACCCTAATACTTCTTCAACTTGCTGTGGGTTTCAGGGCTGGGAGGCCCACAGAGCATGTCTGTTCTGGAACTATTCCCTCTCCAACCAAGCATGTCTAATCTAAATTCTATTATTAGTCTTTCAGAATATCTTCCTTTTTTGTGAAATCTGAATAAGTTCTATAGGTTGTATCAATGCCACTTTCCTGGTTTTGATATTACACTATAGTTATGGAAGATGTTACCATTGGGGAAAACTGGGTAAAGGGTACATGGAACCTTCCTGTTCATTTTTTTTTCAACTCACTGTGAATCTTTGTTTGAAAATAAATGTCTTGCCCTGGTCAGGTGGCTCAGTTTGTTGGAGCACCATCCCATGCACCAAAAGATTGCAGGTTCGATGCCGCTAAGGGTTGGTACAGGAGGCAACCGATCAATCTCTCTCTCTCTCTCTCTCTCAACTAAAAAACAAACAAACACATATGCTTGGGTGAGGATTAAAAAAAGAAATGTCTTGTTAAAAATTTTTTCAAAATCCTCTCCACTCCCCAGGCTGCCCTTAATTCTAGGCCCTTATCATCCCCCTCTTGGATCCTAGCAAACACCTCCTGGTTTCCCTTCTGTCTTTGGTCTTGGCACCCACTGGTCCATCCAGAAAATTTTGAAGACACCAATTTTGCCCTCTTCTCCCTGTAATAACCAGTGGAGGTTCATCTCTGCTTGTTGGATTGAGCTGGCTGCCCCTCAAGGCCCAGACCTTTCCAGTCTTACTAGCTGCCTTTTTAAAAATATTTTTTTTTACTGATTTCAAAGAGGAAGGGAGAGGGAGAGATAGAAACATCAATGATGAGAGAGAATCATTGATTGGCTGCCTCCTGCATGCCCCCACAACCCGGGCATGTGCCCTTGACCAGAATTGAACCCGGGACCTTTCAGTCTGAAGGTCAAGGCTCTATCCACTAAGCCAAACCGGCTAGGGCTTACCTGCTACTTTTTATTTTGCTCATGCCCTGCCTCCCCAACAGCATCCTTCCTTCTCAGGTCTTTGCTGAGGCTGTCCCACACTCCAATTCCAGGACTACTCTTTCCCTTCTCCATTAACAGTAAAAGCCTACCTGAATTTCCCTTGATGCTAAGACTTTCCCACTAACGACCAGGCACCGCCCCTCGGGACGCGCCAACGATCAGGCCCCGCCCCTCGGGACGCTCCAATGACCAGGCCCCGCCCCTCGGGACGCTCCTACGATCAGGCCCCGCCCCTCGGGACGCTCCAGTGGTCAGGCCCCGCCTCTCGAGGTGCTTTAACGGTCAGGCCCCGCCCCGCGTGCGTGCGCGGCCCTGCGGAGACGTGCAGGCGCCCGCGTAGCCTGAAGCTGAGGTGGCAGCCCTCCGGCCAACATGGAGCTGCCGCAGATGCCGGAGCTGATGGGAGTGTCGCTCTTGCTCGGGCTGCTGGCCCTGATGGCGACGGCGGCGGTAGCGCGGGGGTGGCTACGCGCAGAGGAGGAGACTAGCGGCCGGCCTGCCGGTTAGTGGGGCCGGGACGGGCCGGGGCAGCCTGCGGCGACCTCGCTTCCGACTTCCCCGTGGTCCGACCTCCGGTCCAGGCTCGAGGGGGTGCCGGCTCCCCCTGGGCCTCCGTTTCTCCTCTTGAGGAATGAATGAGCTTCGCTTCCGACCAGAGATGCCGCCTGGCCGGGCTGGTCGCGCCCCTTCGGAAAGACTAGTGAGAACCTGGGCCCCACGCTGCCGCTTACTCGTGGCTGAGGCCAAGCCACTTGGCCTTTTGAGTCTCAGCTTGTCCCCAGGTTGCTGCGAGATCGCTTCTAAACTCCCCCAAGCTCTCTACTTGTTCGTTATTTTATGAAAATGAGCGGGGAGGCGAGGGACGGACCGACATTCGTTTGTAAGCACTCTGAGTAGTTCCCTGATTTATTGTGTCCCTACAGGCTTTGGGGTCTTTTCCTTTAGGGAGTCCACTATGGGGTAATGGAGGAGAACATCTAAGAATGTAAGAGAAAAATAGAGTGTCATAGGTTTCCTAGAAGAGGTTAGTACTAGACACAGGAAACCCAGGGGTGGGAGTGGTCAGCCCTGCTTTTTTATTTATTTACTAGAGGCCCGGTGCACAAAAATTTGTGCACTCGGTGGGAAGGGGGGGTCCCTCAGCCCGGCCTGTGCCCTCTCGCCGTCTGGGACCCCTCGGGGGATGACCACCTGCTGGCTTAGACCTACTCCCTGGGGTATTGGGCCTAAGATGGCAATCAGACATCCCTCTGGCAGCCCAGCAGCCCTCGGGGGATGTCCACTTGCCAGCGGGGAGCAGGCCTAAACTGCAGTCGGACATCCTTAGCGCTGCCGAGGAGGCAGGAGAGGCTCCCACCACCATCGCTGTACTGGCAGTCGTCAGCCTGGCTTCTGGCTGAGCAGAGCTCCTCCCATGTGAGAGCGCCCTGACCACCAGAGGGCAGCTCCTGCAGTGAGCGTCTGCCCCCTGGTGGTCAGTGTGTGTCATAGTGACCAGTCATTCCCAGTCCTTCTGCTGTTAGGGTCAGTTTGCATATTACCCTGTTACTATATAGGATAGAGGCCTGGTGCACGGGTGGGGGCCGGCTGGTTTGCCCTGAAGGGTGTCCCGGATCAGGATGGGGGTCCCGCTTGGGTGCCTGGCCAGCCTGGATGAGGGGATGATGGCTGTTTGCAGCTGGTCACACCCCCTTCAGGGTGGGGGTCCCCACTGGGGTGCCTGGCCAGTCTGGGTGAGGGGCTGAGGGCCATTTTCAGGCTGGTGGGTGACTGAAGCTCCCAACCTCTCCTTTTTTTATTTATTTTTTATTTTTATTCTGGGATTTATTTACCTTCTATGGCTGTCACTGGAGCTGAGAGCCGGCTTTAGCTCTGAGGCTTGGCTCCAGCTCTGAGGCCTCCGCTGCTGAAAGCAGGTATCTGGGCTTTGTTTAGCTTCTATAATTGAAACACTGTTGCAACTCCAGCTCTGAGGCCCGGCTGGCTGAAAGCAGGTTTCTGGGGATTGTTTAGCTTCTATAATTGCAACATAGTTGCTTAGAGTGCAGCTCAGAGCTGGGCAGCGGCAGGCGGGGAACCTTGGCTTCCTCCGTCACTGGAGCAAGCAAGCCTCCTGTTCACTTCAGCTGCTTGGCTGCCGGCCACCATCTTGGTTGGCAGTTAATTTGCATATCGTCCTGATTAGCCAATGGGAAGCGTGTTGGAGGTATAGTTAATTACCATGTTTGTCTATTATTAGATAGGATTTTTGGTCAGGGGACGTCAAGGAAATCTTCACTTGAGAGTAGGGAACACAAGAGATGTGGCCTTAAGGCAAGCATGTCAAACTCAAAGGCTAACACGGGCCAAATGAACAAGGTTTAAGTTTAGGTGGGCCGCAAAAAACCAAAAGCTCCAATTTTCATAGAAACAGAGGTTTATTTCGATAGAGACATGCTGAATACAAAGGGCTGAAATAAATGAGTAATCAGTAACAGTTATAGAACATTTTAATAAAAATTAGTATTTTTTCTTGAACATTAACTTACCAGACACTGAATAACTGCACAAATTAATAAGCGTAACGCAAGTAAACCTCTTTTTCTTGTTCTCCGAAAGCAAAATATTTCCTGTTGCGCACACCAAACAAGTCAGTCCAAGACTAATGACGTGGCAATCGGCTGCTAAAATATTCGCCGCTAGTATTAGTGAAGAGAAATGGTGCACCTGCGTGTAAGGTGCGTAAGAGAAATGAATGCAATACGATTATAGTAATCAGCCATTAGCGAACGTTGTAGTTTGTTATTAATAATTATGTATAACAGGATATTGTAAAAATTAAGTTACGAAATTTTTATTAAAACGTTTCTTACATATCGGCTGGGCCGCAAAAATATTCGTTGTGGGCCGAATGCGGCCCAAGTTTGACATGCTTGTCTTAAGGCATAAGAGTTTGCTGGAGGCCAAGGAAGGAAAAACATTCCTGGCAATGACATCATGCACAAAGGCAAGGAGCCCTCAACAGCATTTGGTATGACTTTTGGGGGCGGGGAAGGACGGTGTCCGTTAGTGGCTGGAGAGGTAAGCAGAGGGCAGATTGCAGCCATCTTTGCATTTGGGCCTCAGGAAGGAATTGAGGAGTGTCTGTTGTGACTGTTGGATAACTTTGCACCTGGCCTGGTTCTCAATTAAATTAGCTATTTCATGCAAATGTGACGCAGGGTAACTCAGTGACTGGTGACTATCCCTCAGTTCTGAGTCCTTTGAGCCTTTAATGCTTGTGTTGGGTACTCTACTTGTCATTTTGTATATATTATCCAATTCTCACAACTTTAAGGAAACCAAGGCCTGGAGCAGTTGAGTAACTTACCAAGGTTCAGTTGTGCACATCATTCCCTATATAGGGCTGTCTGGTCAAGGATCTCCATTCCACTGGCATGCTGTGTACCCACTCAACCAGCCCCGAGAGGGTGCCTTTTCTAATTTGCACGGAGGTGCTGTATTGACTAACAGCAAGCAGCCTCCTCAAGGTCACAATCCAAAGCCTCTGATTTTGCCTGCATCACTCTCTCTTGTTGAGGACAGGGGCCATATCTGGCCATCTCTTGTTGCTTCCCTCAATGCCTGGCCAATTATAGGTGGTTAGTAAATGCTTATTGAGTGAGTAATGGGTGGATGACGTGGCCCTTCCTTTTAGGCCAAAAAGCAAATGGAGTTCCACTTGACAAGTCCTTGAGATCCAAGAAGCAGAAACAGCAACAGCATATTCGTAAGGAGAAGCCTCAACAACACAACTTCACCCACCGTCTCCTGGCTGCAGCACTGAAGGTACATGGGTACCATGCACAACACACATACAGAATTTTCCTTTGTAATATTCTGTGCATATTACTGACCCCTTGGTCTCTGACCAGAGTCAGTCTGGATGCCACATTCTGTCCCTTCTCATCACATCCCATCAGCATCTTGCTATTAATCCAGGCTACAGTGCCTTGGAGTCATGGCTGCACATTAGGGTTCCCCATCTGCCCAAGGGGTTCCTATTCACACTTCCTGCATACCTTCCCCCTAGAGCCACAGTGGGAACATATCTTGCATGGACTTTAGCAGCAATGGCAAGTACCTGGCCACCTGTGCAGATGATCGCACCGTCCGCATCTGGAGCACGAAGGACTTCCTACAGCGGGAGCACCGCAGCATGAGAGCCAATGTGGAGCTGGACCATGCCACCCTGGTGCGCTTCAGCCCTGACTGCAGGTGGGACAGGATGGAGCCTCAGGTTTGCCTGTAGAAGCCCAGTCCCAAGTTTATGGCTTTCCCATATCTAGTTTGGGATAGTGAGGGCGGGGACTCAGGGTCTCCCTTTGAGTAGCAGAAAGAAAGCATCCAGACAGATTGAGCACTGCATGGGGCTCCCCAGAGGGTTATGCTGCTGTATAGCAAGGAAGCAACTTGGGAAGTACCAAGGTCTGGCTTCCAGATTAGTCTTGGAAGCTATAATGATTTTCAAAGCCCTAGAGAAACTAAATGAGCAAAAGCTATTAAAGGTCTATCTTATGGGGAGTTTTAAGAGATTTTGAACCAAGGGGTAAAATTGTAAGGCTGGATTATAGGACATGAGTGGAGGTCTTGATTTTCTTCAGAATCTAGCATAGGACCTGGCATACATAGGACTATGTTCAAATGAATGAATTACTTACTTGTCTGCCACCTGTCTTTAGAGCCTTCATTGTCTGGCTGGCCAATGGCGATACCCTCCGTGTCTTCAAGATGACCAAGCGAGAGGATGGGGGATATACCTTCACAGCTACCCCAGAGGACTTTCCTAAAAAGCACAAGGCACCTGTCATCAACATTGGCATTGCTGACACAGGTAAGAGACGTTCAGAGGGTGGACCTTGCCCAAGGCAGGAGAGCATGGCCCTAGTTATATGTGCTGAATGAGTTAATGCTGCCTTTCAGCATTTTGCTCAGCCCCAGCATGATAAAGGGGCTCTGTGTTCCCCTGGAGTCTGGGAGCCATAGTAAATCTCTAGGGAAGGCAGGTAAGAGCCACATTCTTTAGCAAAATCTTTATCTGTGTTGACCCTTGGCCCTGGAGGGGAGCAAGGATACTTTGGGCAGCAGAGGCCTTGATAAGGTATCTCCTTAGAGATTGATAATTGGTCAAGTAATTGACCTCAGCTTATGTCACTCCTCACTCCTCAGGAAAGTTCATCATGACTGCTTCCAGTGACACAACTGTCCTCATCTGGAATCTGAAAGGTCAAGTGTTGTCTACCATTAACACCAACCAGATGAACAATGCACATGCTGCTATATCCCCTTGTAGCAGGTGAGGAAGGAGGGACTTTGGCATCTGGGATGGGTAGAGGATGGGTCTGGGGGCTGGGGACAGAGCAGTGAGCCAGCTATAAATAATGGAAAGAGCATACAGTGTGGAATCAGGACACCTAGATTTAAGGCCTAGTCTCTCTTCATCTATAGTTTTTTGATGGGAGTACTATGTATCTTATAGCATGGCTATGTAGGTAAACTGAGATGTGTATAAACGCACTTTAAAAAGATAATGTTATTTAGGTATAAGATTATTACATTTCTCAAGGAAGAGGCTTAATTGATTTGTAGAAACAAGATGCCCTTAAAATTAAGTTTTAAAGGAACCCGGCTTATATGGCAGGTTTGTGGCCTCATGTGGCTTCACCCCGGATGTCAAAGTTTGGGAAGTCTGCTTTGGGAAAAAAGGTGACTTCCAAGAGGTTGTACGAGCCTTTGAACTGAAGGGTCACTCAGCAGCTGTCCACTTCTTTGCTTTCTCCAATGACTCCCGGAGGTAAGTTCTCTCTGATTTCTTACTAGTAGCTCTCAGCCCTTCTTGGTAAACAGGGTCTTTCCGGCTATCTCTGCAGCAGCTCTAAAGTGGGTGGGGTGCCTGACCCTCACTCAGCAGGAAGTAGACATAGCAGTGAAGTTGGCTTCCTAGTTGGAGCCCTTAGTGCTGCCCAAGTGCTCTCTCCTCCAGGGTGTGTTGGCACTAGAGCTGTGGTTTTCTATGCTGCAGGATGGCCTCTGTCTCCAAGGACGGTACATGGAAACTGTGGGACACAGATGTGGAATACAAGCTGCAGCAGGACCCCTACTTGCTGAGGACAGGCCGCTTTGAAGAGGCGAGCACCATCCCCTGCCGCCTGGCACTGTCCCCTGATGCTCAGGTCTTGGCTTTGGCCAGTGGCAGCAGTATTCATCTCTACAATACCCGGCGGGGTGAGAAAGAAGAGTGCTTTGAGCAGGTCCATGGGGAATGTATCACTGACTTGTCCTTTGATATCACTGGTCGACTTCTGGCCTCCTGTGGGGACCGAGCAGTGCGGCTGTTTCATAACTCCCCTGGCCATCGGGCAGTGGTAGAAGAAATGCAGAGCCTCCTGAAACGGGCCTCCAATGAGAGCACCCGCCAGAGGCTGCAACAGCAGCTAGCCCAGGCCCAGGAGGCCCTGAAGAGCCTGGGTGCCTTGAAGAAATGACTCTGAAGGGTGTAGCAGGAAGGATCGGGCCTTCTGTTGCCACCACTGCTGCCACTTTTCTTCCCAGGTACTCACCAGCTGGAAACCTTTTGAAAGGGTATCCTGTTTTTTTTAATGGTGGCCCCTCCACCCCCCACACCCCCTTCCATTGAAGCTGTTCTTGCCTATTTGATCTCTTTCTCTTCTTGCTGGTTGACTCCTAGCCTTACTTGATCTCCCAACATAATGACCAAGGTGCTTTATCCTGAGCCCAAGGGGCAGAATCTGTCTTCACTGGTCATTGAGGAGAGTGGTAAATAGAAGAGACAGGAAACATGGTCTTTGACCTTCTGGTACCCAAAGAAGTTTGTAATTTTAGAGGCAAAACCTAAAGAATGCCCCCAAGTACTGCCCTGGCCGGTATTTCTCATTGGTTAGAGCGTTGGCTCGGATTTAATTCCTAATAAAGGGCACGTACCTGGGTTGCAGGTTTGAGCCCCAACCCCAGTCAGGAATGTGCAGGAGGCAACCAATCGATGTGTCTCTCTCACATCAATGTTTTCACTCTCTCTCTTTCCTTCCCTCTGTCCTCTTCTCTTCCCCTCTCTCCCTCCCGTTGTCCACTTTCTCTTTATAAAATAATCAATGGGCCCAGCCAGTGTGGCTCTGTGGTTGAGCGTCAGCCTATGAACCAGGAGGTCACGGTTCAATTCCTGGTCAGGGTACATGCCCAGGTTTCGGGCTCCACCCCCAGTGGCGGGGTGCGGGCATGCAGGATGCAGCTGATCAATGATTTTCATCATTGATGTTTCTCTTCCTTCCTCTCTGAAATCAATAAAAATGTATTAAAAAAAAAATCCTCAGGTGAGGATTAACAACAAGAACAAAAAAAGTAAGTAAGGGATTTCATTCTGTGCCTGTTATTTGTGAAATGGAGAATAACCTTTTGACCTCCTTATAAAGATGTTGTGGGGATATGAGAGTATGTATAAAGTCCTTAGATTTGGAAGAAAAGTAGAAAAGAGTAGTTAGTATATGTTATGTGTTGTCCAATATCATTTATTAACTAATGGGTGAAAGTCTCAAATACCGTAGTTGAAACTAAATTAGGAAGAAACACTTTTGGGAAGGTGAAGTTTCTGGGATCATATGTTTTGTATCTGGTTGTATGGAGGAATCATAGAATCCCAAAATGGAGTCTTCTTTTTCAGAAGGTTATATCCTGTTAGAGGGGACCCCTTTTCAGTTCATTAAACATTTGAGTACCTACTCTGCCCACCACAGCTCAAGGCACTGGAGATAAGTATAAATAAGACATGATCTCTTCTATCAAAGGTGGTTGGTGGGAGAGCAGTATATTTGTCTAATAGTACTTAATATTAAGTGCTTTTTGTTAGTTTATTCGTAGCTGCAGAAGGCTGTTGTAAAATAAATGATAAGAGAGAGGATTGAGCCAGGACAGAGGCAGTGGATTTGAAGTTGAAGTTGAAGGGATAGATTTGATAAGAGATTAGATATTTAGAAGTTTGAATTTTGGAGTTTAAGGACTGCTTGGATGTGGGATGTAAAATAAAGGAAATGAGAAATCTAGGAAGACTTGAGTCTCGGTAAAACTTACTCATCTAAAATCAAATTCTTATTTCCTCTCTTTAAAACTGGGACCTCTCTTACTCACCCCCAATTCACATAAATGTTTGAGCAAGCCCCAGCCTTGGAGTTATCATTATTCCCTTTCTTTACTCCTTCCACCCCACTACCACTACTACCATCCACTTACAAAAAAACTCTTTGGCTATATTCCAGATTATATCCTGAATTTGTTATTTCTCTCCATCTTTTCTGTTACCATCCTGGTCCTAGCCACTGTCACCTACTGGATAATATAGCTTCCCCATTCGTCTCCCTGCTTCTTTTCTTGTTTCACTAAATCACTTTTCCACATAGCAGAGTGATCTTTTGAAAATGTAAACTGATCACATTGTTCCCCAGTTAAAACTCTCCAAAGGCTTCCCATCGCACTTGGAATAAAATCCAAAATTCTCACCATGGCCCACAAGGTCCTATGTAATCTGGCTTTTTCCTTCCTGTGTGTTCTTTATACAGCTTTCTCAACCACCCCAACCTTGTTGTTCCTCAACCAAGCCAAATTATTTCCAGCCTTAAGGGGGACTTGTGCCTATGCTGTTCCCTCTGCTTGGAAGCATTTTTTCTTTTCTGTTGGCTGACTTGTCATGTTTGTCATAATTCAGGTCTCAGTTACAATTACACTTCAGAGAGACCCTCCCTAATCACCCAGTCTGAAGTAGTCCTTTCCACCAATCATATAACATCCATCATATAAAGGTATTTTATTATTTTTTATTTCTGAGTGCTATCTGAAATTATCTTATTTGGATATTTGTTTGCTTCAGGAATTTCAATTTAAATGCTTATGGATGTCAAGTGGGTAATGTAGATACATGAATTGGTGTTTCTGGGTGTAAGACAATAGGAAATAGTAGGGACCTAAGTGATCCCTAGAGGGCATGTATACTGGGTAAGGGACAGTGGTGGCTGCTACTTATTATTCAGGAATCTAGCAGAAATTGCCTGTTTCAGAGAAGCTAGAAGTTGACAGGTTATTACAAAGAGAAAAAATTAAGCACTGTATGGACCAAACAAAACACTAATGTGAGCCAGATGCAGCCCACCAGTCTCTTATTAGCAGCTTCTGGATTGTTCATTAACCCACTGGAATGTGAACTCCACAAAGGCAGACTCCTTGTCTATCTGATTTGCTCTATATCCCAAACACAGTACCTGGGACAGAATAAGCTCTCAGTAAATGAACTCAAACCAGGGCAATTGACAGAAATGTCAATATCTTCTGTAACTATCCTCCCACTCCAGTTTTCCACTCTGGTTTTATGTTCATAATAACAAATTTCTGATTGATAATGCTATGCACATGGGTCCTAGTGAATATTAGCTTTCTGATTATCAGAAGAATAAGACTAAAATACTTCTTTCATATCTACTTGGCTCTGATCTTACTCTCATTGTATATCCAGGAAGGGAAGTGACCATAGAATGTTGAGTTACTGAAGTCAGAAGTCTTCCCTTCTGGTTTCAGTTGGATCATTGACTGATTTCAGACCTTGAGGAGGTAGATTATTTGGCCTCTCTGAGTTTGTTCCCTCATCTGTAAAATGGGAATAAGTCTTGTCCTGTGTTTCTAATGAGCTGAGTGAAAGCACTACAAAAAGTCATTACATAGACTTCCTGAGGGCAGAAAGCTCCTCTCACTGAAAATGAGCCTTCTTTTCTTTTTTTTTTTTTTTATATTTTATTGATTTTTTACAGAGAGGAAGGGAGAGAGATAGTCAGAAACATCGATGAGAGAGAAACATCGACCAGCTGCCTCCTGCACATCTCCCACTGGGGATGTGCCCGCAACCCAGGTACATGCCCTTGACCGGAATCGAACCTGGGACCCTTCAGTCCGCAGGCCGACGCTCCATCCACTGAGCCAAACCGGTTTTGGCAAGCCTTCTTTTCTTGTAAGCATGGAGAAAGTATCTGGATATTAATGTAGAGCAGAGGCCACTGTGTTATTTTGATCAAATATCCTTGTGTATGAAGGCAGCATTAATATTTTACTATTACTATTTCAACTTCTGTGGGTTTGAAATTTTTCAAAATAAAAAGTTGGGGAATATTAAAAATGGTGGTATATAGCCTATTTTTATCAGTTATCAAAAATAGAAAATATATTTAAGCCACAAGTGTATATTTAAAAGCCTATTGATAGTCTTGGTCAGTTTCCATTAAGATAATTATATTCATATTTAAAGATTGTTCTATAATTGGAGATTATAGAGGCTAAGCAGGAAGCACATACAAATATGATGAGTTCTCAGTAAGGTAGGTTACTTCATATAGTGCTAGATAGACTCAACACTGTTCTAAGTTGGCCCCATATCTAGGAACTTAACTTGGGGATTCATGTACTCCTCTACAAAATTCCAAAAATATGGGTCTTCCTAGTGAGCAGAGCTTTGTTTCAGCCCACAGCTCTTCAGGCTGAGGCCCATGAATGGGCACAGGTTGGCATTGCAAAAACAGCCACAGCACCTGAAAGCTTGGTTCATACACACAAAATTGTGAATGTCTTCTGAGATTGTGACTACCTTTCCAAGTCTTCATTTTAGGCTATCAACTTCCAGAGCTCAGGGCAGTTAGAAAATGAGTGTGGTTTCTACTTGCTTTCTATTCATTATACAAACCCAGTTTGAGCCCATTTGCATTTTCTTGATCATGTTAGTGTTTTTGGCAGAATGCACAGGAGAACAATCAGCCAGCACTCTGAGGGAGGAAAGTTTAACCTTTATTTCGCAGATCTGCTAGTCCAGGGGAATTCCGGATCCAAAGCCTGAACTCAATTCGTGGGGAGGCTCTGACCAATATATCTCCTCCTGTGGTGGGCCCCTGAGGGTCCCCACAGCTCTGCCCAAGTCAGTCTTTGCGGGGCCTTGGGGGCATGCTCCGCAGCTCCGCCCAAGTCAGCTGTGGCAGGCCCTGGGATTAGGCTCTGCAGCTCTGCCCAAGTCAGTCAGAGTGGGGAAGTAAGACTACAGTTTTAACCAGATATTGAGCTAGGTTGCAAGGCCCCTCATTTTCCTTTTCAGTTCCCCCTCTTGTTCCACAAGCTATTCTTAGCCTTGGGGATTACAAAAGACTCAGGAATTGGGGATAAGATCGACAACTGCTCTAGCTACTTCCTGCTGATCGGGGGCGATGAAAAGGGGTTCAGTATCTCGAGTCTTCCCCATCTTCCCCAAGGGGGTTGTCGGAGTAGCAAGGGCAGAGAAGTTCTCCCGGTACCAGTCGGGGGTTCTGGTGACACTTGTGTAAAGACAGAAAAAAACTGTTAGAAAAAAACCAAAAACAATAATTATCCAAATAGGAGGGGATAAGGAGATTCAGGTTGGTCAGCGGATCCACTGTCTTCTTGAAGATGATCTGCAGGGGGTGGTTCAGGTCAGAGGTCACCTTCCACTCTGGATGCTGATTGTCCAGCTGGTGGGCTGCTTTTACCTGGGAGTGGTGGATCCAGGTGTTCAGTCCTGCAACTTTGAGAGCTGAGGGGATGGTTAGTATGACTGGAAAAGGTCCCTTCCGGGTTGGCTTAAGGCAGTGGTTCTCAACCTGTGGGTCGCGACCCCTTTGGGGGTTGAACGACCCTTTCACAGGGGTCGCCTAAATTCATCTTGCATATCAGATATTTACATTACGATTCATAACAGTAGCAAAATTACAGTTATGAAGTAGCAACGAAAATAATTTTATGGTTGGGGGTCACCACAACATGAGGAACTGTATTAAAGGATTGCGGAATTAGGAAGGTTGAGAACCACTGGCTTAAGGGGTTCCTTTTTCCAGTCTTTTACCCAAACCTGGTCCCCAGGCTTGAGAGGGTGCACAGCTGTTCCTAGAGAGATGGGCAATCGATCAGTAACCCATCTGTGGACTTCAAGGATAGTTTTCCCAAGTCCTTGTAGCTGTTTCTGAATTTCTAAGTTCCCTATTTCCCCCAAATCTCCCTTTGGCCGAATTAAGGGAGGGGGTCTGCCATATAGAATTTCAAATGGAGAGAACCCTACCTTGGCTCTCGGGGCACAGTGCACCCGCAGGAGAAGATATCTGTCCAGGGTAAGTTTGTCTCCTGGCATAGCATAGCCATAGCCTGCTTGAGAGTCCAGTTCATGCATTCTACTTTTCCTGAACTCTGGGGCCTGTAGGCTGTATGTAAGTTCCACTTAATTCCTAAGGCCTTAGCTACCTGCTGTACTACCTCAGCTATAAAGGCTGGGCCAGTATCTGACCCTATGGTTAATTGCATTCCATACCATGGAATTATGTAACGCCTTAGTGACTTCTCTCGCCTTCTCCATGCGGGTAGGATATGCCTCAACCCAGCCTGAAAAGGTGCAGACAAAAACTAAAAGATATTTATTTCCTCTACTAGGCCCTATTTCTGTAAAGTCTACCTCTAGATCTTCAAAGGGAGCCTGCCCACAGCACTGAATTCCTATCGGTCCTACAGGATCCTGCCTTGCATTGTTCTGTGCACAGAGGAGGCAGTGCTGAGAGACCGAGGCGCATAAGGCGGGGAGACAGGCAATTAGATCTTCTAGAGCCATCTTCCCTAAGTAGGTAAATTCATGCTGCTGGAGGACTACTCTATGAGCTAACTATTACAACAGCATGAGGCATTTTAACATTTAAGTTCTGTCTCAGAGTGAGCTTGTCTGCCTCTTTGACTAATAAGGCTGTGGCTGCAAGAGCCCTGAGGTATGGGGGCCACCCAGAGGCAACCAGGTCAATCTGTTTGGAGAGGTAGGCTACTGGCCTCTGCCAGGGTCCCAACTCCTGAGTCAGAACTCCTAGGGCTACCCCGTCTTTGTCTTTATGGTCACGAAGGCTTTTTCCTGTTCAGGACCCCAGTTAATGGGTGCCTTTTCCTCTCCTTTTAAGGCTTCAGAGAGGGGCTTAGCTAGATCTGAGACTCCTGGGATCCAAATTCGACAGAACCCTGCTGCCCCTAGGAATTCCTGAATCTGTCACTGGGTGCTGGGGACCAGTATGGCACATACTGCCTGTTTTCTTTCAGTCCCTAGTCTTCGTTTCCCTTGGGTAATTCGGAAACCTAGGTATTTGACTTCCCTCTGACAGATTTGAGCCTTCCTTTTGGACACCCGTAACCTGTTTCAGTTAAGAGTCTTAGAAGGGTTCGTGTTCCTTCCCAACACTGAGTTCGCATGGAGCTAGCCAGTAGGAGGTCGTCTACATATTGGAGTAGAACACACCCCACGTACTGTCCTGGAAATTTGGACAAATCTGCTGCTAGTGCTCCACTAAAAAGAGTTGGGGAGTTCTTGAACCCTGTGGCAGTCTGGTCCAGGTGAACTGTTCCTTAACCCCTGTGGTTGGGTTTTCCCACTCAAAGGCAAACAGGGCTGACTGGAGGGTGCCAGCTGAAGGCAGAAAAAGGCATCTTTTAGATCTAGACATGTAAAGCATTCCGCTTCTGACAGAATGAGTACCAGGAGGGTGTATGGATTCAGCAGCGCCGAATGCAGGGTATAACGGCCTCATTAACAGCCCGCAGGTCTTGTACCGGGTGGTAATCATTGGTCCCAGGCTTCTTAACAGGTAAGAGAAGGGTGTTCCATGGAGACTGACACCACTTAACACATTTCGTACTGCATAGAAATCTCTAAGACATACGCCAGGGACCTCACGTTTTTGGGCAAACTGCACGTTATTTAAATCATCATAACTACAGATCATAATGCACTTTAGGTGTTGTTTTTCAATAATTATAACATTTTTATTTACAAAAACAATTAAACAAAGTTCCTAGTACTTTTTTAACGTATGGTACTGCGTAAAACATTTTCTAAAAGCTCCAGGAACTCGAATGACCAAAATACAATGTAACTGCAATGCTTTATGGGTTCGTGCAATTATATAGTTTTTCGTAGATTGACCTGCACGGTTTCCACCAATGAGATCGCTTCATTCGATGTGGACAAGACAGTGTGTTGACATCTAAGGTCCATAACAGATGGCGCGTGAAAAACGAGAAAACTCGTGAGCGGTACGAAAGGTGTTAAGAAGTGGTGGATAGAGCGTCAGCTTGCAGACTGAAGGGTCCCAGGTTCAATTCCGGTCAAGGGCACATGCCCAGGTTGTGCACTCGATCCCCAGTTGGGGGCGTGCAAGAGATGGCGATCAATAATTCTCTCTCATCATTGATGTTTCTATCTCTCTCTCCCTCTCCCTTCCTCTCTGAAAACAATAAAAAAAATTTAAAAAAAAAAGCCTTAATGGTATTAGTAAATTGTCCAAGGCACACAACCTATAAATGGCATGCCCAGGTATTTACATTTAGGCCTGTCTGGTTCTAAGATAGATACATACCTTTAACAACCAGGCCCATACCCAGAGGCAAGAATAGAAATGGATGCCCAT